AAAATGACAATGTCATTATAACACCCACGCATCTTGCAAGAAAGGCATAGCCGATGAAAGGAAAAAGGGGTAAATTCAGAGCTGGATGAACATAATAGTCTTCTGCACAGGAGAACATCATAAATACCTCCACGTGCACCACGAGCAGTAGAGACCTAGAAGTGCTGGTGGAGGAGGCTCTGAGGTCTGGGGTCCAGCCTCCCATTGGCAGCAGGGCTGGCACCAGCATTAGCTCAGGGCAGCCACGGTGTTTAGCTGGATGTCCTCCAAGGAGGGATATCTACCACCCATCTGTGACCTGTCCCAGGGCAGTATCATCCTTTGGAGAAGGAGCGTTTCCTAATGTCCAGTCTGAACTTCTGGTCCTTGTCCTTTGTCATAGAGTCTGGTACCCTGAGAAGTGTTTGGATCTGTCTTCTTCGAGTCTGCTTCGAGCTGCAGCTGCAGTTAGATCTCCTCCTTACCCGTTAACCCATCTCAGCTCTTTCCACCTCTCCTTGTATACCCTGTGCCCTAGGACTGGCCATCTTGGTGACCTTTCACTGGACTATTCTGTTCCTCCACCTTGCCGTTGACCTAGGCAACCCTACACTAGCTGTGGCAGCATCCCCAGTGCCTGGCAGGTGAAACACCTCCCCCAGTGTGTTGGCCATGCTCATCTTGGCATGGCCGAGGACATTGTTTCCCTTATTCTCCATAAATCACTGGCACCCATTCAGCGTGGGGTCAGTGCCGGGACAGACCATGGTATGTGGCAAAGGGAACCAGAGGTTTGTGTAGTGTTTGTGGGGTGATTGGGATGCCAGTGGGAGTGGGGAGGGCCATGGGAGAGGCCTCCCAAAAGCATGGGGGAGGATTAGAGGCAGATGCAGGTGAGGCAATCAGTTCTGGGGTCCTGCAGCACCAGGGATGCTGACAGTGTTGGGCTGCAGAGCCAGCCTGCCTGCCCCCTGCCTCCAGCCCTGCAGGGAGGAGAGAGGCAGCTGGGAGATAAGGCTGGGGATTTAACACTCTTGGCAGATCCTAACTGACAGAGCCCAGGCTGCCTGTTTTCCATCAGCCATTAAAAATGCCTTGCTCGAGTAGAAGGAGTCTTGCTGCCAGGAGAAACAAAGTCAGGCAAAGGGAACCAAGGAGGACCCTTCCTCAGAACCGTTAGCATGGCCTGAAGGTGCCATTTTGGAAACTTTTATTGCAAGAGAGAGCTTATTTGCTCTGAGCTGTTTGCAGAATTTGGTCTGATGTGGGTTCTGAAGGCCAGGGCAGTTTTTGTTGCAGAGGAGCTTGTTTGGAGCCTGCTCAGCTCACACTGGATTAATTAAAAAGTTGGTTAGAGAGAGTCAGTGGCATACAGGCCTAGAAAACAGGGAACCCCTCTGCAGCCACTCCTGCATTTTTAGCCAAAGATTTATCCTTCAGGCTGAGCCACAGGATGTCTTTCTCCACCAGGCTGCCCTGGGGCAGGCAGTGCTACAGGGAAGGAGAGCTGGAAGCCTCGTGCCAGCGTTGCCTCCAGCAGCAGATGCTGCAGAAGTGGCCTTCCTTCCCAGATCCCTGGCATGGTCCTCCTGCGGGGGAGGGCAGGACCCCTCGTGGGTCCTTCTCCATGGTGTTCCCTTCCCACAACACAGGCCTTCCCAGGCACAACCACCTTTCTGTGCCCTGGGAATGGGTGGACAGGAAACAAGGACCCCCAGCGCTGCTCAGGCATTCCCAGTCTTGTTTGAGAGGGCTACAGCCAGTATTCTTAGCAAACCCATTGCTGTCTCCAAGCCGTACCCTTGCGAGGCAGCCATCCATGCCTACATGCAGCAGTGAGGCAATTAAAGGTCCATATGTTTCCCATGAACCCCTATTAGCATCCTTCGATTAGGGCTGGAGATGTGGGAGCCCACCACGTGGGAAGCTACAAACTGCCCCTTCTTCAGTGATGGGGCCAGAGTTGCTGTCATGGTAATCTCCCTCCTGGGATGAAGGATGCTCTGATAAAGTAGAAATTTCTGTGCTTTTGCTGTTTCGCGTTCCTCTTTCCAAGCAGAAGTTTCTGGGGATGCTCTGCCCCTGCCCTCCTTGCAAGCCTGAGGGGAAGCAGCACGTTCCAAAGCTGCTGTCACCACCCAGGACAGAAAACTGGGGTGTTCTTGTGTCTTCCAGCAAATAGTGAGAACATCCACACTGTTCAAGCAGGAGGGGATTTAGCCCCTGTGTGAAGATTTCAGTTTTGATTTGCTGTTCACTCTGGAAACAAGAAATTGGGTGGATTCCAAATTAAAAGCTCTTCTCTCATCCAGAGGAAGACCTGGAGGGAACAAAACAGTTTTGAACACAATGTTCATTTATTTTACTTCTGGAGGTTGTCATTACTTGAGGGGGAATTAAAAAAAAAAAAAAAAAAAAAAAGACTTTGCATTAAATTTCTGTGATTTTCCTGTCTTTCAACACGATTTCAGAACATTTATCTCTGGAGAAGTTCTGATTTTCCAGGATTATTTTATACCATGTTGGTGTACAGGACCTCCTGGGGAGGAAGAAAGGTGTGAAAACTTCTGGCCGTGTTTTGATGGTAAATGCAAAGAGTTTTAGCATCCCAGCTTGGTATTTTTGGTGAACAATCATTCAGCCCCTAATTTTTGCCCTGCTCTAAGAGCAGTGCATGCAGAAGTATTAATTGCAGGCATCAGCCCGTGCCAGGCCAAACCTGGGGAATGTTTTTTGCCCTTCGGAGCCAGTTGCTAAACCTCAGCAGCATAGGCAATTTTTTGATGCATGTCTACCTTGATGCAGAAGCAGCCTTATAGGAAAGTTGTTATTTTTAAAATAAGCCTCAGGAAGCTGAAAGAGGCACGTGTCTTAAAACGTCTTTGATCAAATGAGCCCATGTTTCACCCTGGATGTCAGACTAGAGCAATTTTGTGTGTTGGTCTTAACATGTTTCAAAAATTGGTATTGGTATGGGGACCCTGTTATTTCAGCTACAGAGCTGCCATCACTTCTTTGTAACAGAGAACTACACAGCCATCACCTCTCCCAGTGGCTTAACACCCTCTGAGATGGGTTTGTACTGAGGGACATGCTGGGAATAGGGTCAGAAATAGAGTCAAACGCGTAGGGGGATAGGGAGCAGGGAGGGTGGAAAGATCCCAGGAACATGAGGAGAAGCCAGTTTTTCAACAGAACCTTTGACTGTAGGAGGCAGGAGGGACTTTACAAGCAGAAAGGCTGATGGTATTTTTCTGTTGAGCTTTTCTTATTGGAAAGTTAAGATAATTCTGAAGGAAGGGAGATGAAAAGTGAAAAAATACCTTTTTTCTTTCCAAAGGAAAAAAAAAATACTTCTCAGTAATAGCTCTTGCTTACAGCAACCCCGAGCGTATGTTTTTCCCAGGCTGTTTTTCTGATCTGCCTCATTCCTGAAAGCCTTGGCAGCGAACTGAAGTAGAAGTTTGTTTAACTTGTTTCAGTGCAGAAACCACCTGCCACCCCGCAGGCTCTTTGTGCTGCACAAGGAATTAACAGCGGCGGAAAGTCGCAACCAAGAGTAATCACCGAGAGCCATGCCGATAAATGCTTGTAGCTGAGCTCTTGCTTTGGCATTGGTGATCCTCTGACTTGGAAAGGACTTTCTGGTGTTTAAGGCTCTACAGTGATATTTTTAGCCACCTCTGCCATATCTGTTAATACTGCATTAATGTGCATTGATACTGCGCTGTGGTCCAGCCTTCATCACCCATCTGCTGTAGGCACCATGCACTCCCCGTGCTACCCTTGTCCACCCCGCGTGGCTGAACACGCATTTTTTTTTTTTTTGAGTGGCTGTTGCTAACGGAGCATCTTCTTCATCTGTGAGTGGCTTAGAGATCTGAGCCCCAGTGGAAGGAGACTCCAGCACACTGATGCCAGTCATGGCAGGAGTGACAATTTGCTTATGACACCGAGTAGTGAAGACAGGGCCTGGCTGTGGAGAGTTGTAAAAGGACTTTATGAGACGGTGTGACTGAGGGATGAGAAGGCAATTGGAATTCAATAGACCTGAGGTGATGCAAATGGGAGAAAACAACCCCAACGTCACACACATGTACAGAGATAGGCTGTGAGCTGGCCTGATGTCTCTCAGGAATGAGACCTTGGGGCTATAATAGGTAGTCTAGTTGGTAACATTGATGGTTAAAAAAATAATTTGGACATTGCTAATTATATGAAAAGAATAGAGAATAAAACATTGATGTTGTTATGCAACTTGCTTGGGGCATGACAGAGGTTTGTGTAACCCTAGGGGTCACGGAGAAGGTGGATGGCAATTGAGTGTTCACTGCCGCTGCAAGTGTGAGATTGCATCAGATGAAATGGCAGCTGGCAGCTTCGAAGCCGAGGGCAGCAGTTTCTTCATGCAATGTGCAATTACACTGTGGGGCTCTGTACTGTGGGATAAAATGGGTACAAAGCATTTGCATCGAATGAAAAAACGACGATGTAACTTAGTGGAAGAAACACCCCACAAGGGATGTTAAATATAAACAGCCTGCCTTTTAGAAAGTCCATGAGCTATAAGTTGTTGGGGGGTGGGATGGGGCTGTGGGCCGTGCGTGTGCCTGGCTCATGCCCTGCTCCTTGGGTGGCCAGTGTTGGGGGGAGGATTCTGGTGACTGTGGACCTCTGGTCTGACTTGGTACAGCCACTCACATCTTGTTAAGTGACAGTGGCTAAAAATCCCCTTTGCATTCGTAAGACTCCCTGTGTGGCCCCTGTTCTGCACTTGTGGTTGGGGACCAGGCAGGAGGGATGTCTCCCCAGCTCTCTGGGCACTGTGAACAGCAGAGCCTGCCTCCTCAGGGCCTTCAAACCAGCTGCTCCCTCTCCACTTTCTTTACTTCAAATTGTCAGGTTTTGGCTTTGGACTCTGCAAAGCCGAGAAGGGTGTTTTCTGGCATCACTGCCAGGCTCTGGGCATCCGCTCCAGCCCCTGTCCTCGTTGCTTACTGCTGCTCTTGGTTCTCTTCTAGGCTGCCCGTCAGGGACGTTTAAGGCCAGCCAAGGGGATGAAGGATGTGTCCATTGCCCAATTAACAGCCGGACAACTTCAGAGGGGGCTACTAACTGTGTGTGCCGAAATGGATATTACCGGGCAGATGCTGATCCTGTCGACATGCCATGCACCAGTATGTGGGCTCTGGGCAACTGGGGAGGGGCTGCACGTGGCTGGGAAAGGAGATACACATCAGTCAAAGCACCAAGGGATGCTTAACAAAGGCAGCTGTTACAGTGGGATTTTGGAAGAGGCCAGGGGTCTCAGAGCACCTCGTCCAGAGGAGCCTGGCAGACGTGTGTCTTTCTTACCCTGGGCCAGTCTGCGCTTGCAAACGTGGCACATGCCAGGGATGCCAATTGATCAAATTAGCCTGGGTTAAGAGGATAGGTTTTGTTCCCACTTCTGCCTTTGTCTGTCCAGCTTGCTCCACACATCCCTGACATCAAGAGAAGCACCTGGCTCAGTGTGTGCCTGCTGGAGGATGGGGAAAAGGAGGGGGTGCAGCTGGTCCTGTAGTGATGAGCAGAGCTCTGGCTCTTACAGCTTTCTGTCTATTCCCGTTGCAGCTATCCCATCTGCCCCACAGGCCGTCATCTCCAGCGTGAATGAGACCTCTCTGATGCTGGAGTGGACCCCACCACGGGACTCGGGGGGCCGGGAGGACCTGGTGTACAACATCATCTGCAAGAGCTGCGGCTCGGGCCGCGGGGCGTGCACGCGCTGCGGGGACAACGTGCAGTTCGCGCCCCGCCAGCTGGGCCTGACGGAGCCCCGCATCTACATCAGCGACCTGCTGGCCCACACCCAGTACACCTTCGAGATCCAGGCAGTGAACGGCGTCACCGACCAGAGCCCCTTCTCCCCGCAGTTTGCATCAGTGAACATCACCACCAACCAGGCTGGTAAGACATGGACCCATGTCTCCCAGTGGACCCGCTGGGGAAGGGGAGGTGGTGGGCAAAGATCTCCTGGTCGAGAGGTGCTGGGTGAAGCCCTGTGGGGTGAACAGGGCTTGAAGGGGAGAAGAGATGGGCTGAGATGTGGTGTAGCGTTGCTAGCTCTGTAACGCTGGTGAAGACCAAAGTGCGTGGGCCTGGCAATTTCTGGATTAATCCCAAGCCTCGGGTGTGAAAAATATCCCTTATTTCAGTGTAAAGCTGGAGCGTGTCCCAGGGCAGAGCTGTCCTTCTTGTCACCGCAGCAGAACAGCTCCTGTCACAGTCTCCTGGTGTCTCAGCACCCCTCTCTGGCACTGGGCACATGACTGTTCCCGAAGTTCTTGCCTCGGAGCATCGTTGCACACACATGTTGCAGACACAGCAGCAGCACTCACTGCTGCTGGCAGCCTTACTGCAGCCTCTGCTACTGCTCCTGGTTCCTGAGGAGGGAAGGTAAGATTAGCTCTAGCATTTTGCCACAAGCTGCAATCTCTGCTCTGACTGCAGAGAAAGCCAGGACAGTCCGTGAAAGCAAAGGAAAGCTGCACAGAAAAGGTGCTGGGAGATGGATGTATGGGATGAGTATCTGGAAAGCTGCTCCAGGTGCTGTGCTGCTGCAGAATCACCTTGGTGAAGAAAACCAAGCAGCAGAGCTGGAAGGGTTTCATTTGGGGTCTCCAGCTCTGTGCTGATCTGGGGCTTTGCCTCGCTCCCCCTTTGCAGGGTGGTTTTGCTGGGGGAAGGGACGTGTCTGGGTGGCTGGTAGTGCTGCTCCTGGGAGATTCAGCAGCAGCCCCAGGCAGCAGCTGTGCTAGTGGCAGGATGCCCCTCAGAGTTCCTGGTCAGGGGCTGCTCCCCCCAGCCCACCTGGAAGCCATCTGGAGCTGGAGCACAGACTGGGGCTGGGTTTTTGCTTAATCTGGTTGCATGGTGGAAGCATGCCAATGAGATACAAGCATGCATGGGAGCAAGCAAATTTCTGTGGTCCCTCTGAGCACTGCACCAAGTGTGTGTGTGTATGGGGAGAGTGAACATGCCCCAGGCTGTCCTGGACTCTACATGACCTTCAAGACTGAATTTGGCAGTCGTGTGTGGTTGCACTTCCACTGAATTGCCTGGAGAGTGTGGTGTACGCTGGCTGCAGGGGACCAGAGGTGTTTGGTCTGGGGTAAAGCAGCAGTGGTGCAGGTGGGCATCACTTGGTTGGGCCGAGAACACCAAGACAGGTAACCTGCAAAAACGTCTTGGTCACACACGGACCGGCAGAGTGACCTCTGATCTTAAGTTAACATGAGAACCGCAGGGTCACAGTGTTCTCAATACAGTATCAGAAGCCCTGAAGGCAGGTTTAGCATAGCCTTGAACCGCAGTTTGACTGAGAACAGGAACATGTCCGCACACGATGAGGAGAGAGGGACTGGTCTGGGACGGTGACCCATTGCAGCTTCCTTTACAGAGGTGACTGATGGAGATGGGGTGGGTGCAATGCTACCTGGAGCTGGGAATGAGCTCTGCACACCCCCAGCATGGTCCCGTGCTATAGAGGAGTTATTTAATGCTCAGATTTTGCAGTTTGCGGTTATATGGTGTACTTGTTACCTTCATATACTGCCTGTGGCTACTTTCACTTTAGCAAAACCAGAAAGCTGAGTTGCAGGTGAATCCTTTTCAGTCCCCTGGATCCTCCTACTTGTGTTTTCCTTGTTTGACACTCCTTTATTATCACGACTCACACTTCTCAGCCTGTGTGATGTCTCTCTTAATGTATCTATTCATTAGCACTAAACAGTAACTGTCTGCTTGCTAATTCTCTGTAATTAGAGGCTCTGAATTCTTCTGCTTACACTGGGCACCGCCTGGCAGGCTTGATGTAGATCATTAGCAGTTGGTAACAGAAGCTGCAGACACAAAGGCAGGGCTGGGACAGGAGAATGGGGGGTGTTGTGGAGAGCGGAAAGCATGCAGAGGGAGGGGAGGAATGGGCCTGTGGAAGCAGCAGTTACAGCCTCCTTCTGCCTTTGCTCTGGGTTGAGCAACCAGCTGGGGCTCCATCTCAGGCAGAGCAGAGGACCAAGCACCTGATGGGGTTGTGCTCCTGCCACAGCTGGATGATGGCCTCCCTGCAAAGTGCCCACTACGCTGGCCTTCAGGGACCTCCCAGCCCCAAAGGAAGCAAGGCTCAATCACCCTGGTTCGTGCAAGGATAAATGGACTATTGTTGGAGGACCCCATGTGCTTGATGGTTTCGGGACTGAGGACAGATGCCATGTTACCAGCAGCATCTTTAATGTTTAGGTAAAATTAAATTCTTCAGCATCCCAGGAAAAAGCTGCTGTGAGAGAGTAAGAAAACCATCCCTTTAGAGCAGCCAGAAGTCAGGTACTGAGTATGGCCAGAGGAGTGGCGCTGTGGGGTGTGATGGTCATCCAAAAAGGGAAATGAGATCAAAGAAGGTGACATTCACCTTCTTGTTCTCTCAGAGAAAGATGGTCGTGGTCATTACTGTTGTACCCCTCTCTGATGAGGTCTGGATTTCACTAACATTGGCCTTTACAGCAACATAACTTACTTTGTTGTTGTGTTGTGGTAGTAGGACATTTCTCCTCATGTAGACACAGGCAGTGAGTGGCTTCTCAAGGTAAAATAAGAGGTAATTAGACCAAACTGAATCATACTCTCTTGCTATAACGTGGCTTTCCAGAATGTGGATCTTCCCACAGCTCTTTTTGAACTAGATATTGTACCCAGTAGGAGCGCTACTACAGATAAACTACTTTCCTCACTAGTCTCACTGTTCCCTTTACATATCCAAGTGTGAAGTGCTACCTCACTCAGCTATATGAGTGGCTCTTACTTCTGTGGTGGCTTCTGTCTTGGTCCCTTCAGATGCTGCTTCCCCTGATGCAGTCTCCCATTCTGCAAGCAAGACCTGTATTTTGATTTCCAGACCCAAGCATAACCTTATAATCATTTTCATGGTCTCAGCCATCAAACCACGATCATTGCTCTGCACGGAAGTTGTCATTCTCAACACTTGCCATTTTGGACACTTTATGAATGATTTGCCAGCAATGTTTTTATATTGTCTCCCAGATCTCTTAATAATTTTAAGGAGACATGCTTCCTCTACTGTGCTGGACACAGCGTGAGTCCCCATTGAGTGCCAGCTTTGTTTAAAACTAGTTTCACGTGTTGCTGGTGATGCTGATGCTCAGCCCAGTGTCTCATACACTTTAAGTCTGTGCACTCTGCTGAACTCCTGAGTGCAGGAAAAAGAATCAAGACAGTTTGACAAGAGCTACTTCCACGAAGTCATGCAGCTGTGCCTAATTTGGGCCATAGGATCCCATCAGGCTTTGTGGAAGGGACATCTGGGGTCTCTGGTTCACCCTCCTGTTTGCAGTGGGACTAATACCAATAGTGGATCTGCTGTGGCTTTTTTTCTAGCTGAGTCTTGGAAAACTCCACCTCTACTAACCTGTCCCAGGACTATGTCACCCTCCTGGGAAAGATACTTTTCATAATTTCCAGCCTGATTTGTGGCTTTTACCCCTTGTTGCATCACCTACCACTCCTGGGAAGAGTGAGTTTCCACCTTCTTTTAACAGAGCTCTGAGCAGTTGTAGCTGCAATTAAATTCACCCTTAATGTCTTCATTAGCAGGCTCAGCCATCCCAGCTCTCTCCATGTCTCATAAGCCCTGTGCCCCAGGCTGCCTCAGTCACCCTTGGCTGGATCCTCTGCAGTTCCTCCTGGGCCCATGGCCTTGTAATCTGCATTGGCCAAGTTGATGTTGGCCTTAGACTACCCAGCTTTCCCTTTTCATTTCACCGTAACATTGTCATCATTTCAGTCCCACCATCAAAATGATCAGCAGTCCAGAGAGCATGGTGCAGAGAGGAGCCCCGAGGGACAGGTCACCTCTCTTCTTATGAGAAGGTTGGTCAAAGAGAGTGGCCAGTGCCAGCCCATGCTCAGAGGCAGTTTCTTGGAGTGTCCTAAAAAGGCTAAAGGTGTTTAATCTCCAGAAGAACAGCTTTTATTAGAACAGGAGGTATGATGCTTCCCTTTTCAAAATATAGAAAATTGAAAAAGACCAGGTCCAGCAGAACAGAAATAAAAAGAGCTTGGAATAAACATCCCCTTCCAGAAAACTCTACATGATCCCCACTGCCTTCCTGGGAAATATCTTCTGTCACCTCTGAGGCCAGGCTGTGTCTTCTCTCTGCTCTTCTTGTCAGGCTTCTTCTTGACCTCCAGCTCCACTCTGTACAAGTCCCAGCACACCCTCCACTTGCCTGCCTATCACACCCTGCAGCTGTGACACCTCTCCCCCAAATCTCAGCAGCTCTCCAAAGAGGGAGATCCAGGACTTGTGTCTGACACAGCCAGTCCTGTCTTAAGGGACCATGATGTGGCCAAAGAAAACAAGGCCATCACACAGAGACCAGGTGCCACCAAAGGCCTTTTCTCAACCATGCCAGAACAAAAGATCTGTGCCAAGAGGGTGGTTGAGAGCCATGCCAGCATCCCAAGAGGGATGGCACAGGAGGGAAGCCAGGAGTCAAGGAGCTGAGTGTGGCCCAGAGCTCAGGGTAATGACACTTGATTAATTGAAAACCACGCCAGGCGTCAGCCCTCCCGCTGGTGACAACAAACAGCCCCTGCTTGCTAATTTGTGACCATTCTTTGGGTAGGATCAGGAAGGGTGGGGAGTGTTGGTGCTGCGGGGATTTGCAGGATCCATCCTCACCACGGCCAGGCTGAGTGTCCTGGGAAAGTTGCAGAGAGAGAGGTCTCCTTGGGCTGGGGTAACTTAAATAGCGCATTGGAAGAGCACCTCTTGATAAGAGACTGTGACTTCTGTGATCTGAGAAGGGAGGAGAAGGCCCTGGGCTCTGGAGTATCCAGAGACAAATTCAAGACCTTCCAGTGATGGAGGAAAGAGAATGTCCAGATTTTGG